TTTGCCAGTAGCCTTGTTGATAAGATTCAATTTAATGAGTTTGTTGCTATCCCACACAGTAGGGAGCTGAGTGCATTGATTTTAGCAGAGACATAGTCATACAAATAAGCAACATCTTTGAGTGGCATTACCACTCAAGAGGCCACAGTGACTGGTGAAATAGAAAGCTACTGCTACTCTGTGCTAAAGCACGGGGAGAAATCATGGCAGTGATCGAGTGAGGGGAGCAGCCAGCTCTTTTCAGAATCTCATCTTCAAATCAGGGAGAATAGGAAGAAGCTGCACTCCTCAAAGTGACAGGGGTAAAGGGAAGTGTACTCAGGGGAAACTGGTGTGCAGGGGTGAGCAGTGGAAATGGCCAAATAACAGGGATTTTACCTAATTTTCCACATGGCTGCAAAGTAGCCTGGACCTTGCAGGCAGGTGACCCCAGGCCTGCACAGCAGCATCCTGACTGGGACTCTAGTGCTGTCCTGGTCCATGGGGATGACCCCACAAAAAGTCCTTTAGGTGTGCTCTAGGGAGGACCAGATTCATCTGGTGGTGACACTGGGGGGATGACAAGGCCTTGATAATTTCTTTCAAGGACATACTCAGTGAAAAAATACGGCCGCAAGGGCCCAGTGAACTTGTCTTTGAAAATATGGAGTATAGCAAATTGCTTCACATCATAAAAAGAGATCAATCCTTGCTCATATTCCAAAAATATCCCTACTACCAAGGGAGGTGCTACAACCTTAAATTTATAATGGGGTAGAGAATATGCCCAGTAATAATCCATAATTCTGCCTATGGTCCGAAAACCATTCTCAGAATTCATATCCTTGATAAATATTTCCCTGTTGACCGAATCTGAGCACAGTCCCATTATCCAGAATTTACTCTCCCCTACGTCCACCTCCCAGTAATGGCTTCCACTGGAGAAGCTGTTCCGACCCAGCACAGCTCGGAGAGAGGTAAATCTTCCAGGGCTTTCAGGAACAGCTTGCTCCTTTGACAAACATTCAACACGTTTCCCACCCTCTGACACAAAGAGCTTAGGGTGCGCAGTGTCTTTGTCCAGAACTATGTCCTCTGCAAAAAAGGAAGAGATCCATTACCTGTAGGCCTTGAGAAAAGAGCTTTCAATTCTTTGCTGTCAAAAGAGGGGTGAGGATACAGCACAGGGGTCCAGGAGTCCTTTCCACAGCCCACGGCCCATCAGGCAGTCCCATCTAGAGGTGTGGAGATCTTTCCTTTAAGGGAAACTTCTTCAAAACCCTTCACTCTAGACCTGACTTGTGCTGTCATCTCACTTTGGGAAGACATGGTTGATAAGAATGGGGGACATTTGGTTGACACGTGGGAAAGGTGTTACCAGTGTCTGATGCTCACGGTGCTTCCCAGGTTCCCACACAGGACACCGCGTCCACAGAGAGAGGAAAACTGCCACAGAGGGAGCAGGAGACCACGGGACAGCAGCACAGAGCAGTGTGGTCAGTGTGTTCAAGGGGAGGAACTCGGGCAGGACCAGGAGGACAGCAAGGGTTGGATAAGAAGAAGGGGAGTGAGAGAAGAGCAGGGGCAGAAAGCGACACTTGTTAGGCCATAAAAAGTGAGATGGTGAACATTGGAGA